CCTTCCCTGCCCAGCCAGGGGCTCACTGCAAGCTGCCCCACTGGCAGATTGGGGCAGAGATTTTGGACCTGTCCCTCCCTTGCAGCTCTTTCCCAATCCCCTCCCCAGATCAGGGAGCAAGAGCAGGGGGCAGGAGAATATTGTTCCCACAACAGGCAGCCCTCCCAGGGGCCAGGAGCAATGTCCCAGGTCTGGCCAGGAGGCAGCCTGGCCGGTGCTCCTTGCCAGCCCCTGAGCTATCACCCAAGGGGAGCCTAGAGCTCTCCCTGGTGGTGGCAGGAGCTCATTGTAGGTCCCCAGGAAATGAGAGCAGTTTTCTGCCATTAGCAGCAAACCTGCTCCCATTTCCCTACACATATAGATGCCTGCCTGGCAGCATTTACTCACAAGTAGTTTATCTGTGAGTAAACTGCTCCCAGATATAATGCACATATAGACACACTCACTGTGTCTTCAACACTCCTGAGAACACAGCTCACCCACATAGCCTGGCTTGGCAATACCACCTGCCAAAGTCACTCCTAAGATATCTGTTTTTGGCCCATTTTAGAACAGCTTCTCTGCTGTATTTCCAAGTTTAGCATTTTGGAGCAGGAGCAGAAGGGCAGGGCACTCTACAGCCATTCTGGACTCACCCAGAGGTGGTACAGATGTACCCTAAGAGTCTGAAGACAGGGGGAACAGGAAGAAAGTAGCCCTCCTTCTGACTCAAGCACACCAGATGTACCAAGGGCAAGATGTAGCAAGTACTCCTAAAGCTTGCTACTTTAGTGATAGGAAGCCAGCATTGCAGGGTTGCAATACTTACCTGGCAGGGGAAGCACCGTGACCACGTGGGCGGGCTCCCCAGGCCAGGTGATTGTCTCTAATATGTCCTCCATAGGAAGTCTATATTGAGCAGGGGGTTTTTTGGCATTGGGTGGTGGAACTGGAGCTTGCTCCATCCACTCCATGCATTGACCTGTATAGCAGTGCTTCCAGGACTGGTCCAAAAAAAACAGACAAAAAAAAAAAATCTGGGCTGGAGGCCACCTGCAGAGCAATATGCAGGCAGAGAAAGCCACAGCAGGGGAGGAGGCAGTGGCTGCAGCTCAGGCCTGAACTGCAACAACTGAGAGCAGGTTGAGGGATAAGCCATGTGACCTGGAAGGGTGGCTCCCTAACCTACTAAAAGCCTGGCTCCTGATACAGGGGAGGCAGTCTGGCCCTAACTGCAGACAGAACTCCTACTGGCCTGGATGGCAACAGAGGGGAGCCCAGGCAGCACCAGTACCTGGGGAAGCTGCAAAGGTAGGAGCTACAGGGTAGGAGCTCCCAGAGCTCTGGGGAGCCACAGAGGGGATTTATCAGGCTGTTGTAGCTGGCACAGAGTAACAACAGAGGACTAAGAGTGGCTGATAAGGGTGGTATGAAGCCGTAATTAGGGATGCCTAGAAAGCACCCTGCAGCAGGAGGGGCTAAGGCCCAAATAAAGCCCTGCCAGAGTCTGGGACCCAGGAGGCTGCATGTGAGATAAAGCCAAACCACTGAGGGTCAGGGATGCCAGGGGACTGCAAGTGACCATAAGCAGCCTTGGCCAGGAGCACCAGGGGGCTGGAAAAGTCTTGTCTGGGCCAGCAGCACCAGGGGGCTGAGATAACATGAGACAGGGCCAGAGGCCTAGAGAAAAAGACAGGGCCTGAAGAGTGAAGCAAAAGGCAAGGGCTAAGGTAGAGAAAGCCAGGCCTGAATAAGTGGGCCAAGGCTGGAATCCTGTAGCCAGAATAAAGGGGGACTAAAGCCAAGAGGGCTGAGGCCTCTACAGGAAGACCAAATTGTGAACGCAGTAATATCTGTGAGGCATGGGCATGGCTGTAGGGGAGAATAGAGGCCAGGAATTTAGCCCTTGAGGTAATTAGGGCCAATGGGTTAACAGTCCCATGGCTAAGAGACTGTGGACAGCAGGCTTGGAGCACAAATTAAGCTGGCCAAGGTGACCCTTAGAGAATAACCAATTATACAGAGAAAGCAACCAAAGTCTCCCAACCACCCCTCAATATCTCTAATATCAAGGTGTGGCAGCCAAAGCATCAGGGTGAGACCCTAAAGTGAGAGCAGAGCAGGACCGAGGCAGCCACCGGGCGGGGAGGGGATCGGGAGGGGCAGGGATCAGGGCCACCATCAGGGCCTATCCTGTTACACAGATCTCATCATCGAACTTGGGGAAACAGTCGGACTCCTTTATTTCTATTTTTTTTTGAGCTACACAATGTGCTTAAAGAGAAAAAAGATAGTTGCGGGGGGGGGTGGGAGACAGTGTCAAAGGCCTTCCTGAAGTCCAGAAAGA